AACTTTCTGGGGAAGTCAGCAGGGAAGGCTGCAAATGAGGACCCAGACTGTGGGGGCGATATGCTGACTCTGTAAACCGCTTAGAGAGGGCTGAAAGCCCTATGAAGCGGTATATAAGTCTAACTGCTAACTGCTATTGTTCTCATATTCTAAGGTGATTGCATTGCTCCTGATCACTTGGATTTTAGAAACGTCTTGTTTTAACTGCTGGTGTTGATTGTCTAATCATTCATTAGGATGCCAGGAAGAATATTCTATTGTTACATATGTTCACACCAAGAACATGTGCTGTTCAAATAAGAGATAATTTTGAAAACATGAAATACATGAACAAGACGTAGCAATGTAGCAGAAAGGAAAGCTTATTATAGTGTTCTAACAAATGATGACTATGAATTTGAAAAATGTAACCCATACCATTTATAATGGAATCCAACAGGAACAGATTATACCATTCTCTTGGTCCGGTGACAAGACTAGCACGAAATGGCTATTGGAGCCACATGAAGGGCAGCAGGTACTAGTCCCTTGTGTTCAAGGGCCAGACACTTTCCTCTGGTGTTGGTGACTGATTTGTGAAGTGGATCTAATCTGACACTCCTGTTCTTTCTAACTATCTTGATACTCTCTTGACGTACCACATCAATGAACATTCTCTGTCGAAACAGGATTTCTATCTTAAAATTTAATCTCATCTTCACAGTCTATGGCTGCTCATTTTAATCTGCACATCTAATTTTGTAATGTTATTTTTTTTAAAATCCCAAAATGTTTTACTTGACTCTCTACTTTAAAAAAAAAAAACAACCTCTAAAGCATCATTTATGATACTGGATGGTACTGAAAGTAATTGGGTGGCAAGAGTAATATTGGAACGTTGAAGATTGAGTGAGAGTTAAGAAGTTGCTTTTTCTTTTTATCCTGAGCCATATAAATTGTAAATCGGATGCCCATTATTTCCAGAGAGGCAGAAAGAAGTGGGCTAACAGGTATGGCCAGGTGCCCCAATATCAGTTCTCATTCCCCATCCTTGCTTATTCTCATACCTCTCCAAAATATATTTGGCAGTTTGTATTAGAAGACAAAAACTGAAGATGAGTCTTACTGAAGATGATAAAAAGGGGTTTCCTTCATTTTGGTTTCTTAGCAATGATATGCAAGAATAGAGATTCCTTGCCTTAAAGTTTCTTTGAATACCATTTTATGAGAAGCACTTACATTCACATCAAGGCCTTTTTACATTCTTCAGCACCTATCCATAATTTAGCTTCAAATAACTATTACAATCTGATGTAATGTGTACAACCATTTGTTAACTTTTGAAAGTCGAGAAAGCTCAGTTTGTCATCTTTCTTAGTTTATAGGCTAAACCAGTGGTAGTCAACCTGGTCCCTACCGCCCACTAGTGGGCGTTCCAGCTTTCATGGTGGGCGGTAGGGCTTTGCTGTAACTCTGCTTTATAAATTTTATAAAGTAAAGTTACTTCCCTACTTTATAAATCACCATTAATATGGAACCGGTGGGCGGTTAGAAAATTGTACTACTAACAGAGATACAAAAGTGGGCGGTAGGTATAAAAAGGTTGACTACCCCTGGGCTAAATAGTTAAAAGATGTATGGAAGAAATTCTCCAAGATGTTTCAGAATTTTTTTACTTTCTTAGTCTGTCTCTAGAGAGTGATGGCTATGGCACATAAGTTGCTTGGTATGCAGTTACACAAACACTTGTGCAGTCAAATATTTCCTGTCATTAAACGTTGGTCAGCTACTCACTTGTTAGAACACAACCTATGTTACAACAGCTTTATTTAACAGCTCTGGGCCAGTTTCCCTGCTTTCCTGCTGCTTCTGTTATTGCTTTCAAATATCTTGGTGTGGCATTGTGCATGTATTAAGCTCTTGCTGTTTTTCTTTGTTTTCTTTTTATACTTTGTTTTCATTAACTCAAGTGTCTACTACGCACCAATATTTTTAGCAGATCTGGAAAAGTCTGGAAAGAATCATTTAAAAATTAAAGGAAAGGAATTTTTAAAGTGGAGCCAATTCCAGTTTTTTTGCCAATTAAAATTATTTGTAGCCCTTTGTCGTAATATATAATAGTGAAAGTTATAGTTCTTCATAAATTAATTGTTAAAGTGAAAGTCTTTCTTAGCATGTTAATTAGTGCTGTGCAAGTAAAATATATAATCTTTCCAAAGGTTGATATCTTTCCATAATTAAATTCAATCAGTAATGTGTTGGTACAGTATTTTGTTTCAGAAACCGCAGATAATATTAGTGATGCTTCAAGAATTTCTGTTGAAATACAGTACCTTCCCATACTTTACACTTGCTTTTTTTTTTAGTTCTGCAGAATCTGAAGATTTAGCTGTTCATTTATATCCAGGAGCTGTTACTATTCAAGGGGTTCTTAGAAGAAAAACTTTGTTGAAAGAAGGGAAGAAACCAACAGTAAGTTATTAAATAAATCATTTTTTAAAAAATTCAAAATTGGCTTTTCCTGTTTCAAAAATATTTTAAATTATTCATTTTGTTTAGACCACCAATGATTGCTCAACTATTTGAATTAGGTACACCTCAGTAGGTTTTAAAGTATTTAGAAGTCAATTGATAGGAAAACAGGATATACAGCATATAAAATACAAACTCTGGCAAAATATCTCGTGATTTACTCAAATAATCTGTGTGGCTACCCCTCCAATGTACTTCCTGTGGATGGTGTTGAAAAATACCTGAGACTGACAGTAGTTCATGTCCAGGAAATATCTTTTAATTTTGGGGTCTTGGATGTTAGATTTACATTTGTTTGGGAACTTTCCACATCACCACAGCACAAAATGTTATATGACAGTATATAATGTGGATTACAACTAACAATATCCTTAAAAAGTCTCATTGTGCTTAGTTAATGTGTAAAATGAATAAGAGTTAAATACATACAAAATTAAGATGCAATGGAAGATACATTTTGAATTGATTGATCTTGTGATTTTCTAATCATATAGGTAGCTTCTTGGACCAAATACTGGGTGGCTTTATCTGGAACACAGCTTTTCTACTACGCTGCAAAGTCTTTGAAGGCTACAGAGAGAAAACATGTGTGTACTGTATTCCTGCTTTTAGCTGAAAGGGATAATTTTGGGCAGAAGGGTTTTTTTCAGCCTTTCCGTGTGAATGTTGCCTTTTCTGCAGCACTGAGCTACCACCATTCTATAAACTTCATATTTTCAAAATACGTTGTTCATTTGCTTCTTCTGTTTTAACCTTTAGCTTTGCTGCAAGCAAGTTGTAGCAATTTTTAAAACTAATTCCAAACTCCTGCTGTAATTGTTGCAGAAAGGTCTGTATCTAGAATCTAGAAGGAGTTTTATAAATTCAGTTCAGTTTTTCTGCGCATGGAAAAATAGCAACTTCCAGTCCGCACAAGGAAATTCAAAGAGAAAAAGATTTTCCATAATTTACATAAAACTTGCTTATATGACACCCTGTTTGTGGATCAAGATCCAGTCCCACATTAACTCTGGGATTTTACTTAATCTGTGTCTTGCATTACAAAAGCCAGCAGGTCAATTCTGTTCTTTTTGTTGCAGCCATTATTTTTAATGCAAATATTGCTGTAGCCTTTTTGTTCTTATTTCCCTTTCATTGATGTTCCCCTCACTCCTATTCTTAGTTCAAATCTACACCAAGTAAGAGTGTGTCAGTAGTGGGTTGGATGGTTATGATGGCTGATGATCCCGATCATCCGGATCTTTTCCTACTCACAGATTCTGAAAAAGGTCAGTAACATTAGTTACTAGTAGTAAATTCTAGATTTAATCGTCTTTAGAAATAACAAACACTGCAGTATTCCTCCTTCGTCCAAATTGGACATTAGCAGATTTTGCCCCCAAATGGTCAAAGTCTGTTCAGCCAATCAGTCCAGAAAGTATTCAATGCTCTTCTCCAAGTTGAAATTCAATATTAACCCATTTTACTAATAATACTAAATTCCATTTTGAAGAGGAACAGTGAATATTGTCTGGACTTTTCATTTGTACCTTGAACAATCATTTGGCATTTAAAGTATACCTCTTCCCTGTTATTGGACATGAGTGGTTGTTATTAACTGTTAAAAGAAAATTAAATTTAACAGTCATGTTACATTCAAAATACACCGCCTCCCTGCAGTTAGTTGTTAAATCAATTATAGTCTTCAATTTTCATTTTAAGATAGTTCAAAGTTATCACAGCTTATGAAAAAAATGACTTATGTATTTGCACTTATAACTGTCGCAACACCCCCCACTGTCACATGATTGCAATTCAGATCCTTGGGATACAGCTCACATTCTGCTCACGTGTACAACCAGTTGCAACATTGTGCAAATACATGATCATTATTTGTGTCCTTTGTTGCCATTTTTCAGCAAAATATGCCCATGTGATTCATTTGCTTAATGTCTATCATAAAAATTGTCATAAAATCATTCCATTACAACTGTCATGAATTGCAGTGGAAATTTCAGTCCCATTTTTTATTGGAAATCGAGGATTCCTGTAGTTATATTAGTGTAAAACAAAACCCTCCAGGGTTTAATTGTAGTAGTGAGCTGTGAATGAGGCCCTAATTAATGAATAAGACAGGACTAAAAAGAATTACATTAACCATTAATAGATATTTATTCATCTCTTGCTGGAAAGTCATTTCAATGTTTTAATCAAATTACCTTCTTTGAAAATAAAAAATTATCTTAAGTCCCCCCATAGAAAAGAGTGGTGAAAGGAATTCAGAACGCAAGCAATGTGAGGTTAGTTTTACGTTTAATAAGTCATGTGACCTAAATGGTAAAAATGGAAAAATGCTGGAGCTTCTGGCCTGGAATATTATTATAGCACCTCAGAAACTTTATATGCCAGGAAAGATGAGTCTAAGATGGATTTTGCCGCCTTAGCAGATAAGTGAGAAGTTACCTTATAAGTGAATAATTTGTGATGGAGATGACTTTATATTGCAAATAAAATTGTACAAATAAAATAAGTCTTCTAGGCTCATTCCATGAAAGAAACATTGGACCTTTGTTTAAAATTCTGTACTTTTCTCTCAGAGAAAATTATTGATTGGCTGTATGAGTACATATTTTATCATATATTAAAAATACTGGTAGTGTTCATTGCTAAATTTACATATTTGTATGATAGGTCAAAGAAATGGCTACAAGATTTGCTCCAGAAAGTTAGGGGATTCTGCCAAGGGGATTTTGACAGTATTCAAGTGAAAATAACCAATAAATTCCGTCAGTGGAAGCATATGATTTAATTCCACCCACTAGGTTTTTTTTAAATGTTTAAGTACAAGATGGTTTTCGTTTTTAATGGAAAATTCCTCATTTTGTCATTCAGGGAATTCATACAAGTTTCAAGCTGGTAATAGAATGAATGCAATGCTGTGGTTCAAGCATCTAAGTGCTGCCTGCCAGAGCAACAGACAACAGGTGAGAGAGCAAGAATTATGAAGTGATGCTTTAGTGGCCATTAAGGCCTGAATATAAAGTGGTTTCTCACAAGATACAAAAAACTTGTGTATTTTTGTATTGGTCTGTCCCAACTCAGTGGGGTTGGGTGGAGGGTTCTTTTGGATTAGGAAGCGGTTGCACACTGCTTCCTTAGGAATCCCTGTTTGGATTCAGCTGTTTGACAGCTACCGTCCTGTCTCCATCCTTACTGTTGAAGGAGGACTGTTGAATGGTGGGAATTCAGCTGCTAAATGCCTTAGAAGTGGCTTCTAGGGACACTTTCAGTTTCAGTTTAAACCCAGGCATGGGATCAAGATAACATTAGTCATTCTAATTTATTACCTTTGTTGGGAACTAGGTGAATGACCTCTCACCTCTTGGTCCTTTAATCTCTTAGCAGGCTTTGATACAATCAACCTATAGTATTCTAGACTACTTGTAGGCGGGGTGGGGGTGGGATTGGAGGCATTGTTTCAGATTCATATCTTTCCTGCACTGATAGTTCTAATCAATGATTGGGGAGGAAAAAAAGGTCAATCCAGTGATTGCTCTCATGCGATATAGCAAAGTTCATTGGGCTCTCCCTTTCAACATCTATATGAAACTCCTGGAAGAGATCATTCATCAGTTTGTGGTGCAGTAACATCTGTATGCTGATGATACTGATATTTATATTGCTACCCTGGGCTCATCAAGGAATCCCACTAATGTCTTCATCTAACTCCTGGAACATGTTTGGGATTGGATGGAAACAGATTATAGTTGAATCCATGCGAGACAAAGTTTGTTCATTGCATTTCTCTTTTTGCTCTAGAGTTGCCTCTAGAAGGAGATGCACTCGACTTTGAGTTCCTCTTGGCTACTGCTAGATTTATAGATGGAGGCTGTGGGCCCACTTTTGGTTATGTGCCGAAGCAGTCGAATCTAGCTAAAATAACATGCTCTTATGAACATTCATTTGGAGCTTTACAAATGTTCTATTTGGGCTGTCTTTAAAGAGGACCCAGAAACTGCAGTTGTTGGCACTCAGTGCTACAGCAAATTACATCTACATTGCAAGCCTTAGGTTGGCTACAATAAGTTTCCAAGTGCAATTCAAATTGTGTGCTTTAACATACAAACTTACACGTAGGTACCTTCAGGACCATCTTCAATCTGAAATGGACCTCTCTTAAGTGAAGTGAGAGTAGATAAATCTTTTCTCTTCCTCCCCAAAAAATGAGTCCATATTTTTTTTTAGACATGACAGCCTTTCCCCTGGAAACGAAACTGACTATTTTGTTGTCTATGGAGATTCTCAATCATTCAGATCACAGGTGTCAAACTCAATCGCATCACGTGACATCATGTGATGCATCGTGACTTTTTGCCTTTGCGGAGCCGGAGTAGGTGTGGCTTGCGCATGATACATCCAGGCTACCAGTTTGATACTCCTGGTCCAGATCATGGTTGTCCCAAAGGTGCTTTTTAGTCCAGTTGACTATTTTGTTGATGACTTCCAAAAGTTGATTAAAATCAGCCTTTTAATAGGTTATCTCCATGTACATTTATTTTGTATGTTCATTGTATCTGATGAGGTGAATGTTTGTGTGAGGCGAATATATTATTTATTATTTCATTATCATTATGTTTTAATTTTTAATTGTTGTAAGCCACCTAAAGCCTAAGAAGATTCCAATACCTAATAAATAAATAAGAATAATTTCCATTATGACAAATGGCTCTGTGGGGAATAGAACAGTCCAAATGGAGCAAGCTTTGGGCTCTCTTTTTGGAGATCTCTTCCACAGAGTATTTGGTAATAATGGTTATATGCAGGATGGATAGGATGACACTTTCTCTGTCTTAATTAAAAGAAGCATAATTGTGGGGCTCAAAACAAAATATTTCCCATTAGAAATATCCAGCTTTTGCCTAAATACATCCAGTAAAGAGTAATCTATTACCTCCATGGATAACTGTTTCCACTTTTGAATTGCCGTTATAATCAGGAATATTTTCCTAATGTTCAACTAGAGTCTACCTTCCTGTAATTTAAATTAGCTGTCTTGTGACCTGAATAATGGGATGATGGATAACAGGCTATGGCTTTATTCTATGTGAAATATCCTAAAATACCTGAGTATTTTCCCCCCCTATTTGTATCCTCTATCCCCCCCCCCCTGACTTGGGTTGTGAGCCGCCCTGAGTCCCTTCTGGGAAAAGGGCGGCATAGAAATATAATAAATTCAATTCAATTAATCATATCCTCCTAATGTTCTCTTAACAGTAAAACTATCAAGCCTCTCCTCAACATAGTTTCCAGTTAGTGATCCTTGCTGCCTTTCTCTGAAAGCTTTCCTTATTTAAAGAGAGAGTCCATAACTAAACATTGGGTATAATGGTCTGATTAAAATGGAATAGAGTAGAACTATAATATTCTACTATTTGGAAATCACCTTACTATATTGATGCAGCCTAAAATTACATTTCCTTTTTTGCAACCACATCATTTCCTACCATTCAGCTTGTGATCTCCTTAATTCACAAAATTCCCTTTTTGCATCATACTTTGCCAATTATTCTTTATCCTATACATATATGTGTACATTTTATTTTTGAAAGAAAATTCCATCTATTTTCAGTTTTGACTCCTTAGTCTCCCAAACTTACACCTGAAATATTCCCTCCAGCTTAATGATCTTCCAAATCAAAATAAATAAATAAAATGTTCCTGAATATCAAGTCCAGGATTGAATTCTGTGGCTTGATTTCTTCCATAGCCTGGCTGAGGAGCTTTTGGAAGCATCTGTTTTTTGGTTTTAACTAGGAGAACTATAATTTGTTTTTAAAAGAGCAGTTTGAAACTAAGCAAAAACCAAAGGTTAGTTATTGATCTTGCCTAATTCTCAAGCTATTCTTGAAAAAAAAAAGTGTATTTCTATAAGTTTAGCGCATTTGGAAGCAGCTTATAAATCTCAACCTTGTCTATTTGATTGCGTAACAGGAAACTGGGACTTGATTTCTAAACTTGAACCTAAGTTATATCTCTAATTTTCTTTACAAAATTATTTCTTCTGTTGATAGGTTCCTGCCAATTTAATGACTTTTGAGTGACCAGCTACTGCAGAATTTGATCCATCCACTTTTGAATTGCTATTTCACGGTTTGAGAAGTCCTGCTGAAGGCATGCCAGCTCTACTTCTGACTAGGAAGTAAACGAAAGTTCTGAATGAAAGCACTAAAGATTTCAGGGAATGGAATGTGACATGAACTACCATAAGGCTTTGCTGCTACTCAATATTCTCTGAACTGACTTGTGGAAACCACTGCCTTAAAGAATGAAAGGTTATCCAACATGAAACACCAAATTTGTGTGTGTGTGTGTTTGTGTGTGTGTGTACGTATATGTGTGTAAAACCTCTGACGGTGCTGTGCTTAGGTTAAGTAGGTTGTAGCTAGTTTGTGTTTGTGTTTACTTTGTTACATTTTACTTTTCAAGCCCTGCTTTTTGCAGCTTTTCTCGTTGTAAAAAGGAGTACATCTGAAACTTAAAGGGTGTTTCAAGGGGTGTTTGTGCAAGGGCATAGCCTGTGTTTTCTTGAAAAAAATATGCAGCTTATATCTGTGTCCCCCGGTATTAGCTCTTGTGCTCAGCTAATTGGGGACAGGGTATAATTAGTTTAGCTTAGAATGTAACAACTGTAACATATGCAAAATTTATCTTCTTTTTATAAAGCACTGACTTTGCAGAATTTGATACTACATGAGGTTTTTCCTTTCTGCAAGTGATACAACAGCCAATATATTCATTCTTTTTTTTGAGAGAGAGAGAGAAAGATCTTGGTTGTCAGTTTCAAGGAAGCTCTGGGAAACATCAGGAAGTCAGAACTGAGAATTTAATCTCAACATATTTTCAGACAAAACACCCTCATTTCTCCTTTACATATATTTTTTACTTACACATTGTATGCTTTTTCACAAGCACATTTACCCCTGAAAATCTTTATTACTGCCTACTAAATATTGTTTTACAGATGAAAACCTTATATTTTCCTTTCTGTAGAAGCACATGATTGGGATTAGAAGTTTTTCTATTTCTTTTATGTCAGAGCTGGAAACCGTATCTCTGAAGCATAAATTTATTTGTGTATAATTTGCAAAAGTCAGCTCTTACATAATCAGAAAAATCTGCAAGTAAAAAGATAAGCCACTGGTGGGATTAATTACAAATAGGTTTAGTGTAAGAAAAGATAGGTTGCCATTTCACATATTTCCTTTAAAAAACAGCCTATCCACACGTGAGATAATTTGTAAAGAAACTCACGCTCTGAAAAATTTGTCTGTGTAACTATGATAGCATGATACTTTGAACTAGACAATTTCATAGCCTTCACATGGTAATAATTTTGATCACAAGAAAACAAGGTCAGTTGAAATCAACTCAGTCAGTGCTATAGTCCAGTTAAGAATATGAATATATATATAGCTGTCCACAGAAGGAAATAATAAGGCTGATATAATATTTTCATGCAAAGTACAATGAAAAAAAATGGGGACATTAAAATTATCCACTTTTAAAATGTCTTTCTGTTGTTCCTGCCATAAAGTTCACAATATACTTAAATTTTGGATTTTTTGGGAATTAATACTCAGTTCTGACCTTCTGGTGGTATTTGTTATAAAAGGAGACCTGCATGTTTTTACTTGCTTAGTTTACACATCTGCCAATAAAATGACATAGGATGTTTCGTGGGAACATCTTTCTAGCCAGCAGTATTACTATATAGAGTTTGCACAATTTAATTTCCACTTTTCAGAGTTTAAAAAAAGCATCCCATTTTTTAATGTTGGGGAGTGGAATCCTGTGGAATTTGTTTTGTTATAAAAAAAGTGCGGAAGAAAAAGAAATGTGTAGATAGATTTATCGAATTGATCACCTCCCTTATGAGTAGAAAGATGCAACTGCAGACTACAGCTTAATTAGGCACAAAGTTTTGAAAGATAAAAGGTCGACTCGTGCCAGTTTTTCTCATGATGTCTGATATAGTTAGTTTTGGCATGTTCAGTGAGTACTTTTGAACATTTACAATATTTGATTCAGATCATAGAACATCATACATATTTTCTGAGATGCATCATTTTTGAAGCTTATGTAACATTTTCACAATTATTTCATTACATCAAAATGTTTCTCAAAAGAAAATGGATGGTTTGGAGAAGGAACACACACAAAAGGGATCACATGGATCAGTTCAAAACCAGGTTGGAAACTTGTTTTTGCCCAATAGATTACCCAAAACAGCAAAAGTAGTAAAATTTTCAACTTCTGTTTAAAAACTTTACTTAGCGTATTTCCTATAAATAGCAAATAGGGATATTATACTTTTACGGCTTTTGGCTTTCTCATAAACATTTTGCAGTTTTTGTATTTATTTGTTCTGATTTAATCTATTTGAAAAAATATTTCAAACCTTGAACCATTCCAGATTTCATAGTAGTTTTAAAGGTTGCACTTGTAAAAAGATCTATTTAATTTCTAACAATTTGCTTCATTCATCAGTTAAATCTCAGTAATGTAAAATTTTACAGTTAATACTATTAATAATATCCTTTAATAATAATTTAAAATATGCATCAGAAAATCTAAATGCTGTTTGAATATGAATGAAGCATTTTGCTTGATAGTACAAGTTTCTTCTAAGTAATTGAGCTAAATACATAGATGCTAATACTATCAGGGATGGTTTTTATAATAATTAATAGAAAATAGAACGAGTTCCATTTTTACTATAACAAAAAACACTGGATTTTTGGTATAAAAAGACACATTTCACTAAAATATATTTTAATATTTCATCTAAAAACAAATCAAGTTGCAAGAAATGTTTAATTCTAAAAGGTAAGATCTGTTACAAGAAACACTAATCTGGTTGGTACAAATGTAGAATGCCTTATATGTCTTCATTTCATACATGCACGTATGCACACACACACACACAGAGTGCTTCTTCATCTTGCATACTGTAAATGAAGAATCCATATTACATATGCCCAACTGAGCCTCAGTTAATCAACTTTCTAATTTCCTCTCATTTTTATAAAATGCAGGGGTCATGGGTTCCGAGTATCTCAGTACTCGTTATCCTGAAAAGTTGATGGCCGTTTCCCAGATTTCATTTAGCCCACGTGAAGCTGGTTGAATAATACTGTCGGACTACTTTGTCAAATCTCAGCCAAGAAGATTTTCCTTGTAATGAAATTGTAACTTGCACTGTTTCACGCACAAATGATCCACACACACTTTTCTATATACATTGAAGACATGGATGAAGCTGCTTTTCAGAACACATTAGACGAAATGAAAAACTTTGTTTCAGCTATTTATCTAGATTGTATTTGAATCATAGAACATTTACTCTAGATATTGTTTTAGACATACTATTTTCAAATAATGTTAAGTGAGATTTTTGGATTTCTTTTGTGGCATATTGCTGTACCTTTGTGTCAGATCAACCAAATATGTTGCAAATTAGATGTCCTTGTAATGCAAGCATCAAGTGGCTCAAGTTGCATCTTTCTTCCTCATATTTTTGTGCGTATTGCTTTTTTCAGTTGTTAGTATTCTTAAATCTTAATGTTCTAATTTGGAATCTTATATTCTATGAAAACTTGAAGACACTAAAATTTGAATCATTTTTTACTTTCTCTGAAAAGTCTATCTGCCTAATTTTGGGGAGTTTTGAGTCACTCTCTTTTCCCATTTAAAATGGCCTGTATTCAACCTTAAAATTTACATTTAGAAATAAGACAGAAACAGAATATTCATTCAGAGGAGTGTAACATTTCCTGCTCATCATGAGATGAGCATTTTATATCTGTATAAGATTTTTGCCAGTGCCTTACTTACCAGTTTGAAAGACCAAGGTGGCAATCCACCAAGTATTATTTCTATGCATTCCACTACTCATGTAAATTGGGCTTTGCAGAAACTCCAATTGAATAACTGGAATTGTTCAGCCAGTAGAAAAGCTTACTTTTTCTCAGCTTATTTCTGTTTTGAAAGTCAAGCTTTATGTTTAGTAGACCCAGTAAAAAAAAACACCTCTTAATTTGAATACGTTTCAGTTCATTGGTTTTATACAAGGAATTTTTGTGAGCCAGTTCACACCAGGACTAGGCAATAGATGCCTCAAGTATTCCTTCAGACCCTCCTCTTTCACCATCACCACCAATGCAAGATCTTGCCCTAGAAGTGCAAGTTTCACTGAATCATTTAAATTAATTTTGTATAAATCCATTTTGAAACTGCAAGATAGAAACCAGTTTTTTAAGAACCAGTTACACATGAGGAGTTAATACGTATATTTCTTTCTAAACTGTACAATATCTGAATTTTGAGAAATAAAACTTCAGCAAGAATAAGAAATTCTGAAGGCCATGACTATTAGCTCTCTAAGTTAATTTTTCCACATATATGATAGAGGAGAATTGAACAACAGGATTTATAATTGAATGCAACTTAAATAGCAAGAGTTAAGTCTTTTGCAAGGATACTGGACCATGCAGAGACTGTAGTGAAGAGTGTGAAAGTATATTACAGTCTAAGGTTTTTCACAACTTTCTGAAACAAAGCTGCAGACATATCAACATGTTTCTTGAGTTCGGGTGTCATTGAAAATCTAAAATGAAATGTGTGCGAAGCCCCTTCTTTGCAGTGGACAAATCGGCACCTTCTTTCCCTGAAAAAAATATTTATTTTTATTACTAATTAATGGGCTTACTTTACCATAAACGTATTAGAAGATATGTGGAAAAGGGGGATTTTAGTGAAATCTTGTCTTTTTGTATCCCTTAACAATAACATAATTTATAGTTATTCACATACCTTAAGAACTTCACATATGTAAAAACATGCAAAGTCTACTTTATGCTACACACTGCTACACAAGCCATTTTAGTATATTTTCCTCCATTTGACCTCAAGCACTATTTTGATGGAGGTAAAATGCACTATGACCTCTACGAGTGATGTGCAGTTTAGCTGTTCCTTGTCCTTTTTTCTTAGTTTTTAAAAATACTTTACCACGTGTGTATGTTTGAACTGTGTGTTTGCATAAGCTGTTTCAAGATAGCTTAATGTATGAACTTCAAATGGATTTTTTTCCTACTGAAATAAATTACTTAAAATTTGGCTTCTCTGCATTGTCTTTTGTATAATCGTACTGTGTTGCAGCAGATCTTAAAGATGGAGCTATGTTTCCTCAAATGGCATGACATATCTGATCAATTTCATGTGGTGGCTTTCAGCGCAGTGGAAAGTAAAATGAAAATATAATATTGCCAATTGTTGAAAAAAGAAAGTATTCTGATTTATAACAGTGCACTTTAAAATTTGGCATGTATAGTAGTGTGGTTGAAAAAGTCTATAAAATCCTACTGAAAGTAATTGCAAGCATAAAATCTGAAAACCTGGAAGCAAGATTTTAAGAGTATGATTTTGGGATATTTGAACAATGGCAGAGTAGTGTTTCCAAAAGGATAGAGTTCAGAGAAGCTACAGGAGTCTTTTTAACAAAGCATTCTTCCGAGAAGGGGTTTCAGTGATCATAGCAACCCACTGTATTAATCGCAGACTGCATTTATTCAGCATGTTTATACCCTGTGTACCCAGCTTGAAAGGACTCTGCGACAGAAAGGAGTCCACCAACAAAAGGAATTTTTTTTTAAAAACAGTTTGTATTTAAAAGTACTCTAAATAGAATCTTAATATAATATGGTTATCCCCTAAGAACTCTTGCTACAGAACAAAAGACGTATTCTTTTAGTTCCAAATAGTCACCGAGAACAGCCCCAAGAAATTACCATTGTACTATTCTAAACGGAGGGGGAGAGGATGTATGTGTTCATGCCCTGGATCCAATTATCGGTTTATACCATTGCCAAGTAACGTTTTCTTTCATATATACGACATCTTGACAAAACGTGTATGTTTTTATGAGTTATAACAGAGTAACAACTGTACAGGTTTCAATGGTGTTTCAAAGAGTTTGTTGGAATTTGTGAAATAGGTTGTTGAAGATCTACTAGCTGCCAATAAGGGAGAATATTTGTAGCACAGGGTTGAAAGGAGGAATTCTTGATGCTCCTTGAGTTTTTGTCGTTTTCATTACCCAAACTGATAATATCAGTACTGATGATGTTACTTAGTTTGGGTAATGAAACGTCTTTAAGAAAACAACCAAATTCAGAAAAAAACCAAGGGCCCCTCCACTACTAGCTGTTTAATAATATATTTAAACAATTTATGTGATAGTTACTCTCAAAAATGTGAGTCTGGGCAGATAATAGCACACTAAAACAATAAAAACATGAGCAAAAATTTAAAAATAACAGTGAGCCCAAGGATAAACTCAGCAAGATAATAAATAGACAGCAATCAATAGGCCTTCTAAACCCCCAACCCAGGTATTTAGTGCTTTACAGAAGGCCAGCAGGGTCAGAGCCAGTGGTCCAGAGGGCAGGTACACTTCCAAAATCCCATAAGCTGACATTTTCAATTGAAAGGACTCACAGCATGCATCTTTTGTTGGACCTAGTGGGACATATAGAAACAGTCAGGGAGAGGCAGTTTGTAAATAACTTGGCCTTGTGCCAGGGAAGGATTTCTAGATAATGACCAGCATCTTGAATTCCATCTGGTCTGTAATGCGCTCTACATGGGGCTGCCCTTGAAGAGTGTTCGAAGACTTCAGTTAGTCCAGAACGCAGCCGCGCAAGCGATTGTGGGTGCACCCAGGTACACCCACGTCACACCTATCCTCCGCGAACTGCACTGGCTACCCATTAGTCTCCGGACCCGCTTCAAGGTGCTGGTCATCACCTATAAAGCCGTACATGGCATCGGACCTGGGTACCTGAGAGACCGCCTCCTGCCGATTACCTCCCATAGACCGATCAGATCTCACAGGTTAGGTCTCCTCTGGATTCCATCTGCCAGCCAATGTTGGCTGTTGACTCCCCGGGGGAGAGCCTTCTCTCTGGA